ATGAATGCAGGCTAAAAGAGGTAAAAAAGGTTAATTTTAGAAACGACGAGGAAAATAGTGAAGAAAGAAGTGGGTATAAATTAAAATTAAATTATGAATGGAAAAGGGGATGATCATTATCATCACTTATCAAACAATTCTCTATGTGAAACTAGTTGATCGATTACAAAGCTTTTCTTAGTTTTACTAATTGACTGATACATTTAGCTTTATTCAATCATGAAATAGAAGTTGAGAATTTTCTTTAATTTTTCCTGGAAATATACACCTTTTCAGTTCCTCTTAGGCCTCGACAACATGTTAAATATTCTTTTGAATTTGTAGGAATGTGACCAATGCACACATTGATATGAATAGTCTTAATTAGCAAATCCCAAAGAATATATAACTTGCTATCGAGGCCTAAGAGCAACTGAAAAGGTGTATTTATAGCTAATAAGTGTTTTCATAATATTAATTACTTACATGTTATTTTTTATATTGAATGTTCCAAAAAATTTATTCATCTCACACTAACAATCTAAATAGCTGCTCATGAAATTGACTTTTAGTAATTATAGAATGAATAATTGTATTTCTGTTTCTTTATTCTTAAGATTTATATATTATATGAAATCAAAGAGGCAAGATTTTGCTGTAACTCGATGCTACGCACTCATCAGACAGTAGCACGAAACTTGGAGTTACAGCAAAATCTTGCCTCTTTGATTTCATATATAACTATCACTACACTATATGTGTATTGAGCACTCTTTAATGGGATCAGCTACTTCCTCATACGATTAAGATTATATATATATATATTGACTATTAAGGATAAAGTACAATTTTCGTAGTCTAGTTTTTTAAATACTATTATGCATGGTGGTGGAACTCATTCTCGTTTGGATTGCATTTCATTGGAACGGTGTATCTTACCCTCAATACGTTTTTTCTCATCGCTCAACATTTTTAGAGAATGCTTGAAAATTGGAAGACATCTGAGAAACGCAAAGCTACTAACAAGATTAACTATCGAAGAATATATCTTATTGCAGTAGTATATATCGCAAAAGAAACCGTTTTCGTTTTTTGTGTGCAGAAGAATTGCGTGCAGTACAAAAAACTCTAAAACATTTAAACCTATCTCCTTTTCATCAATGCCCGCTGCTGTTTTCGGTTTTTTAGGTGTTGATGTATTTTTAGAGTTCATCGGTCGTGTTCGTTTTCTTCTACTTTGTTTCTCAGCACCGGCTCCCTCATTTCCACCACAATTCAATTCGCCGCACCTTTTAGCACATTTACAGGTTTTCATGCAGGCGCCATACTTTTGGATACAGTTACATCTGCTTTTATACTTCCGCCGAGAGGATCCTTTTTTATGCTTATCCTTTTCTCCACATCTGCACAGTTTTCTTTCTTTCAAAGTCTCTTTCATTGGTGCTTTTGTTGCTATTTCGTTAATTTGCACAGTTTTAGAGCTTTCGTTCAAATTAGCTTCGGTGGACGAACCCGATGTGGTTACGAGTACATCATAATGCCCTGGGCCAGTTGGGTTGAATGCCAAAGTAATGTAGTGATTAGAAGGCTGGAGTTCATCAGGGGTAATTGCTATAAACGGCGTAATGTACATTGGATTTAATACAAATAATGGGACTTGAATTACATTGGCGATTGCTAATGGAACAAGATCGCCGATGGCGCCAGAAAACGTACCTAACTCTCTCAACTGTTCTGCTTCTACCACTACGTCTACATTGATTGGAAGGAATTGCTGATAGTATTCCTCTCTCTCGCCTTGCAATTCCTCTACGACTTTGTTTCTTAAATGAATTGCAATCTCATTTACGGATAAGTTTTCGTGGAATCCCATGTTAATAAGATGTGCGGTCAAACCATCGTTTACGTCTAATGCTAAATTTGAGAGTTGTGTGGCCACAGAAGTAAACAAGCAGTTGCCATCTCCTATCACCGGTTGACATTCAAATCCCCATGAGGTAGCGATATTTTTAATTTTTGTTTTCATATCATCGGAGTCACCCAACTTTCCCTCCTCACGACTTGTAGTTTGTGGCACAGTACATTTGGGTATATCTTTGTAATCGAAAACTTTCGTTCCCAATTTTCCCTTCAGAAAAGCAGCAATTTTACAGAGTTGTAGGGCATCACGTAAGATACTCAAGCTGTTTTTATGAGCACTAAACGGGGTCTCGTCGCTTTCAGATTCGCTTCCGTCCGATAAATCATTGCACTTGTTCATGAGATTTGATATTGTCGCTTGCATTGTCGATATTTGAGAAGTGTTCATTTCTTTTAGATTCATTTTTATGTCAACCTCTCTGCAATCATTAGGGCTGTCAATGCACGGTACCGAACAGATATTTGCCGAATACGAATTTGTTTTTATGTCCTCAATAACAGTTTCTTCTAAAGAAGGTAGACTTGTATTTTTTTTTCTGTTTTCGTTGTAAATGATTCTTTCCAATCTTGCTTTCGCAAGGTCAACTCCGATTCGGTTCTTTACAGCAGTCTTTTTAAGTTCTCTGTGAAGTCTCTCGTTTCTTGAAGTTCCACATCCAGGAGGAATGTTTGATAAACACCCTTTTCTAATATGACATTGGATATTTCTGATTTCCTTAAGGATCTCTTTATTCATTATTAAACTTCCAGAAGAGGTTTTGACAGTTTTCCATTTCTCTATAAACCTGTTGAGGTTGGCCATCAGTTCGTTAGAATTTGGAGTCGGAGAGGTCCTTTCCTTGCCTTGATCATACTGCTCCCTGAACACCAGAGAGTAATCTCTACACATGTCACTGAAAGTAGCAGAACGTTTTGACAGCTTTTTCGTCACTCTTTGTACAGCATGAAACAGATCTAATTTTACAGGAACACCGGGAAATACGGTTGATAGTTGGTGACGCCATTTGCAACAATTATCAATATAAACAGCTGATATCGTGTAACCCTTTTCTTGTACATCTCTTGCCAAAGATTCGAAAAGAGGTTTTATGTCATCGAAACTATCGGTCAATGCAAATTTCCATCTTATAACTTGGCCTTTTTCGTTGAGTATACAGAAAAGTGAAGAGTACTTGGTAATCCACGCTCCGTCTTCCTCTCTCTCGAATCCGATGTTGGTTGCAGACTTAAAAGTATGATCACAGCTGATCCATAATGGGGGTGCAATAGCATTTCTTACTCTTTCGTAATGTTGCTCGTTTTTTAAAAACATACCGTAATAGAAACTGGTAATGAGACTTCGTCCGGGAAAAGGAAACGCTTCACCTACCGTGTAATCGGATTCGATAAAAGTTAAACTGCGGTGCCCTTTCAATTCCTTTCTGTCCGTCAAAAATCTTATAAGCATGGTGTTTTGACTTCGTTTGTATCGCTTCTGGATAATTTCCTCCACTGCCACTATAGCCAGTCCGTTGTCCAACATGTCTTCTATGTCTTGCATGAGTCTTATCGTCATTCCAGATCTATGTGTTAACATGAACAACATATGTGATGGTAAATATTCCATAAGTGGGGTGGAGCAACATGATGCCGGTACATCGTGTCCATTACTGCATCTATATATCTTGCTTACAAGAAGTACTGGTCCCTCAATGTCAAAGATGAGTCTAGGATTACTTCGTTTTTTCCTTGCATTGTTCCATGAACCTTTTGGTCCTCTTTGTAATAAAGTCACTTTCCCTTCGTCGTGACAAAGATGGCAGAAGAGCTTTATTCTACCATCTTTGCAACTTTGAAATTGTTCCATCGGATCAAACAGGATGTATGGTAGCATGAAGTATGCTTCCTTTGTATCTTGTTCATCTTGTGATGACATCGGAATGATAACTGATGGCTTGGAAACAACGCCACCAGCAATTAAGTGAGCTTCGAATTCATCCGTCGCACGTATCAACTTTGTTATCTGAATCTGACTAAATTCGTACGCAAGAACATTGGTAATTAGGATGAAGAAATAAACTTTGGTTGTGGTCAACATCTTGAATAAAGTACCTTTTCTTTGACTGGACAAGCGTCTACGTACACAACCTTAGTTAATATTAACTCAATCCAGAGAACGAGCGGATTCCGGATCAAAGCGCTGGATTCCGGATTACGAAACATTGGATTCCGGGTTCCACGAATTTTTTCTTTTGTGGATTCTGAATTATAAATGGCGTGATTTTCAGTGTTTATTCCTGAAAATTTTATATTCAGCGTGTCAATAGCCTGCGCAGCCAACGCAGGCTAGCGCGTCACTAATTTGCACTGCCTCCAATATTTGTCGCACGCTGACAAACTACGTATATGCAGTACAGTAAAGTACAACATATATCAGTTGGATGCGCGTTTCCTTCTCTAGACAGATAGATAAAATAAAAGCAATCTTCCTAACTATCCAGATTCTGGATTAACTGTTTGGATTTCGGATTCCAGGATAGGGATTCCAGATCCCCAAGCTGTTTTTTACTGGATTCTGGGTTCCGGATTCTCTTACACGGGGCAACTATGTCACAACGACGCAACAGTCGGTTTAACGTGACATTGTCAATCAAACTTCCTGTTCGTGCAATACCTTTTTTTCGGCCAATGATATGCTTACAAGTCAGTTGTTCCCTTCGTGCAATACCTTTTTTTCGGCCAATGATATGCTTACAAGTCAGTTGTTCCCTTCGTGCAATACCTCTTTTTCGGCCAATGATATGCTTACAAGTCAGTTGTTCCCTTGTCAAATTACCACAGGCATTTCAAACCAAATCACTCTTGTGCCGAACTCTGAAGACATAAGGTGTTTTTGCGTGTGCGCTTTATTGCGAAATGAATCAAGAACAAGATAATGGAGTTTCTTCTCGAAATAATTCGCAAGATAACCAAGGTTCAACTTCTCTAACTGATCAGGATTCTTCACAAGACTCGAATAATCAGGTATTTATATAAAAACTTTCATTTTTCCAAATTTAGGATCATACCATGCCCCGGGACGATGTATGCACGTGCGTACGCTGCCGCCAAAGTTAAAAGTACAAAAAGTACAATTTTTTGTAGATGAATACTCGACCGGTAAAGAACAGTTTCCCTTTATTTATTGAGAAGGTAAAAGAATATTTGATATTCAGAAAGCAGAGTAATTTCACGATTGTGAAATTGTGGAATTGAGTGCGCGTTCCTTAAGTATTGTAAGTCGCGTCGAAATATATTGCACGCACATTACGTGTATATTTTACTTTTGTCTGACTATTCGTATTTCCCCGTATCACAATTGAGCGTTCCTGCAGTACCGCAGTGATTCCAAAGCATAATATGCGAAGTTTGATAGTGCAGTGATTTATCACAATCTTTCTTATCGGTCTTCCACGGTCTTTGCTGGAACGCCTGTTTAGTTGCAAACGGCAAAAAAAAAGAAAAAAAGACGTGACCTGCACGTGACCTGCTCTTTAGGGTTTTACCGTTAATGTTTCGACGCGAGAGCGGAATATTTTGGGGTTGCCATAATCATGAAAAGTGCCTCTTTCAAATGACTACCAAAAGTACAAGGTCAGGCACAAAATTCGTAAGTGACTGGTTCAGTTCTGCCGTTAAATAGCCGAAAATGCGATGCTTAAAAACTCTCGTATATCATCACTCTCCGTGACCTTTAAAGATGGCTTATCTCACGTACGAACCCAAAAGATCTTGATCTTGCTGGCGACCAACAATACAAGTTTGCACAATTTTTCAGATCAAGGTATTTTTTTTTATAAAAAAGCGAAAAAAGCAACAATCGCTTAGTGTTAAATTTAGCCTGAAATGACTAGTTTCACATCCAAGTTTCTTGCGAAATCACTACAGCCCACGCGCATGCCAAGATGCCGATCTTTTGAAAAAAAATTTGATGACGTCATTGGGTTGAGCCAGAGAGGTCTCTCGGGCCCAAACTCTCTCGGAGCGGCTAGGAACGCCTGGCTACGCAGGCTAGGATTTCTTAAATATTTTTAGTCTCTCAAAAATAGAGCCGTTCTAAATGACAGATTTTTTTTAAATTGTAAATCAAGCAAATTCCCTTATATCTGAAATTCTGTCATTGGGATGACAAAGTTTAATTCACTTGTTAAAGTTTTTTCATTTTTGAAAAAAATTCCCTGCGAACAACGTACGCATTTATTAATTTTGTTAACCACAAAAATAGGATAATTTGAGAGTGAACCAAATGCGCGGAATTGTTTATACTAATTGATTCTTTGATATATGTACTGAGATACAGCTCTGATCTGTTTTCTTATAAATTATGTATTAAATTACGAATGCATGTACTGATTATGTACTACTTCTGGTGCTCACTGATAATTAATTACTTTATATAAGCGCTATTTAACAATGTCAGATCAACAGCGCTTGAAGTGCTGATCGATGCCGAGTACAATTATCTTGTTGTATCTAGCTTATTTTAAAATTCAGACGTTTCGATTTGGTCAGTCAGATCTTCTTCAGTGCAAAAATCAAATCCGACGGATAGACACAACAAGATATAATTCCCGGGGGATATAATTGTACTTATGAATCCAAGCTGCAACAGCATATTTTTACGAATGCATGTATTAAAATTTCAGCTTTTGATATGTAACAGTCTACATACTGTTTAGCAAAATTCGATGTTATTATATTCATTATGTTTTTCCTTTTTTAGAAGAAATCATCCAATACACCTTCTGGTGGAGGTCTCTTCGAAAAAGACCAATGTCTTGTTTTTTTTGACAATAAAAGTAGCAGGACAGTGGTGACAACAAATTTTGTTGTAGAAGTAACTGACAAATTCGAATCTGAAAAGATGAGGGGTTACATATTCCAACTGACGCTGGTAGACAGTGGGAACTCCAAGACTTGGTATTTTTTCTAATTTTTTAAAATTGCTATAATTACAATTATTTTATTCCTTAATAATATAAAAATGCTCAATAGCTTCATGTTTTCAATGTAATACACCTTTTCAGTTGCTATAGGCCTCGACGACATGTTAAATATTCTTTTGAATTTGTAGGAATGTGACCAATGCACACATTGATATGAATAGTCTTAATTAGCAAATCCCAAAGAATATATAACTTGCTATCGAGGCCTAAGAGCAACTGAAAAGGTGTATTTAATTTGTTTTTGTTAACCATGATATAGGTGAGTGGAATTTAAATTTTCACTGCAACTATATGCAATGTCGTATATTTTCTTCTTTTCTTTGACGTAATATTCTATGTATCTACACTTAAATTCTATGTAATCTTGAAATTTCTCCTGATTATTTTGGATATATTAAGATTTTTTACTGCAATTGCAATTTTCCATCAAACAGCAGAAATGCATGACATACATTACGTGCAATTCCTTCCAAGTCAAATAAGTCGGGTACAAATGTAAATTCCTAAATCCTTAAGTCTCCAAGTTAGTGATATATTGAATCTCATCTTATAATATATTTGTAAGTACAATATGATCACCACAACCTATATTACATAACATGCCTTACTGATATGTGATTAGCCAATTTTAACTGATACCCAATTTTTGTCTTCAGGAACTGTGCTCTGTCAATGCAACAGCTGTGCAGCTCCCAAGTTATTTTCAGTGCATTGCAGCACACATCGAAAAACTCTCTTTGGTACAAGGTTCCAAAGGATGCCCCTGGTTCTGTGGACCTGGCAACTCACATGTTTTCCCTCACAAGGAAATACGATAAAAAACAAGAGGAAAATCCCACTATTCCTAAACAGATTGTCCAAAAGGTATTTATTAGATTGAAATGATATCTAAAATTTAACATAATTAAAATTCATTAGAAATACTGTGTCTCCCATTTTGGGTTTCCATTGTTCACAAATGAGTAAACTAAAGCAACCTGGTTCTAACAATTTGTCATCTGGTATTCATTTCATAATAGTTCCCGTCATGGCAAGATGGAATTTTTGTAGTGGATCAGGAGATCCAATTTGATGTTGGAAACAAGGTGCTACTTGAACCTAGTCAAAGAGTGATTTGCATGGCAGATCCAAAGAGTAAGAACACATTCTTGAATGAATACAATTTTTAAATATAAGAAGAGTTTTGATAAGTGTTTAAATTATGATCATGTAAGCTGCAGATCTTAGGATTTCCTAGAGAGGGAGGAATTTCAAGAAAAAATCATGTACCAACACAGTACAATATAGCTATTGACAAAATATCTATCTAGTATATATTATAATATAATATCCACCTAACCACCTGCCTGTACCTGGTAATGATGTCAGGCCTTAACCAATCATTCTATAGTGCCCCTTTGTCAATAAGGCCATTGAAATCTATCTATCATTTGTTTCAGGTGCTCCGTCAATCTCATCCAAAATGTTTAAAGAGCCAAGCATTGATGGGTTGGCTAATCTGTTTGTTGCCATTAAAAATCTAATGGCAAACAATTACCCTCCTGCTTGCATAGCTTTAGGTGGGGCAGTGATGTCTCTTGGCTATTTCAAGATCCATCAAAAGTATGCATCATGTCCAGTTGTTCTTCTTACTGGGGACACTGAGACTGGGAAGTCAACAATTCTACGTTGCTGTATGTCACTGTTTGGTGATAAAAACATAAGAGGTAAAATCATTATTCAGGCAACATAACCAAATTAGCATATGAAATCCGGATTTTTTTTCATTTGACATCTTCTATATAATTATATGTACATGCTTTCTATCTATATTTTTTCACATTTTACAGTCTGATATTAATTGATTTTCAATAAATTGAAAATTGATTTTAATAAAGTGTCATTGGACACATATATCCCTAGGTTGCCAAGGAAAGAAAGAACACTTCAGCAATATTCTTTTCTCATTTAAAGACAATAAATGATTATTGACATTATATTAATTATTACCCTGAGTGCTAAATTGTCTGAATGTAAGTGATGAAATGATAGAGTTTATCTAAACTGACAGCTATACACCCTTTTAATAAGTCCCAAGGTATTGTTTTCTCCGCACTTGATGTCAAATTTTATTCTTTTGAAATTTTTACAATACAAAAGGAATTCAAAAGAATAAATTTGACGTCAAGTGCGGAGAACGTAATACCTCGGGACTTATTAAAAGGGTGTATATGACATTTTGTGGTCAAGCCAGGATTTTGCTAGAAAAAACAGAAAGAAGCCCAAAACTAATTTTTTTTAATTTTCAAACAACATTGAGGATCAATTGCCCTTCTCTGAGCTGAAGACTAAAATTTAGGGATTTTTTAAAATTTAGGGATTATATTTTACATCATTTCATTTTGACTTTTTGATATTGATATTATCATTTRTCATAAATATTATATTTGTTTGCCTATAATATTTTTTCTTAGATTACACTAAAACCAAGGCCCTCCGCTTGGCATCCCTTAACCACATGCCATTTGCCTGGGACGACCCAACTAAGGCAGAAGATGTTGAAGGCGTTGTGCAAGGGCTATTTAATGGGGTATGCTTATTTCATCTTACATTTCAAAAAAAAGTGATCTGAGCTACTGTTGTCTTGTTTGTATTATATAAAGTATAGTATCATGTGGACAATGCCTTGCTGTCAAGTCTGTGCATTTCAAATCTCAAAAGTGTCCAATTATTAAGAGACGTGTTCTTATGGCTCCAAAATCAAATTAAAACCCTGAAATGGTTAGTATTAAGCAATATGTGCTGAGTTTGTTCGTGCAGGCAAAATACAACACCCGTTGGGTAAATAATGCCTATTTCGTGGACATAGCCGCTCTTTAATTAGGACAAAAACAATAAAACTTAATATATATTTTTTCATTTTTTTGCTTGATAGTTGTTTTTGTTGTTAACGTTATTGTTGAATCTTGTGATGTTTACCAATCATTTAGGCTGGAAAACAAACCTGCCATTCAGATGACATACCTACAAGACCACCCATCATTACTGCAAATTTTGCTTGCAGTAAAGATAAGAGGTAATATCACAATTCTATTCATAATTATAGTATTTGATCTAGCCTGAAGAAACATTACATAACCATACATTAAATGTATTAGCAATATATAAAATTTTATCGCCATGGTGTATAAGTGTAAAGCAGGCAATTCATTATTTAATATTTCTATCATTATCATTATTCTATCTATTTCAAATTTTGTTTAAATCTAATTTGGTTTAAGCAGACAGCAAAGATTCTAGCAATYGCGGACTGTTAGCTTTGACTAAGAGTACGAAATTGTCTGAGTAGGTGTCCACGTTTTAAAACTGACCTTATGACTTGTTCAGCCTTTTTGTGCAATATTAAAATTTTATCTTTGCCAACAAGACACAAGAACAGTTCATACTCAATTGCATACTCGCAGTAAAACTTAATAACACTCAATCTTGAATGATTGACCAATATGCATGTGGCAAATCAGCACAGCACTTTTGTCAAGTTTTTGATAACCTGATAAATAGAGGCTATTCAAACTCAAAACGAGCACAAACCTAAATTTGAAGTGGATTATGAATAATAATTTATCATATATTCATTACATAGCTCATAGCTGTTAAAAAGTAATTATGCATCAAGTTTTCAACAT